TTTGACAATGTATCATCCAAATGGAGAGAAAGTAAATGAAATAGGATTTTCACCATTTTAATTCTATGCTAAGAAAAATGTAGGTGTCATTTACATGAAACTGTCAAATACTAATAACTTTTAATCTGTTACAGCATCATACACCTTTGTTATTCAAAATTCATATAGAGTTCCAGCATCTGGAGAAATTGTATTGAAGATGCCTAAAGAATGGGCATCAGTTGTAACCAATTCAATCACACTAGCTAAATTAAGTGCCTCTTGGACAAGTGATGCTTTGTCATATACTTACTCTATTGATTCTTCTACAGACATCAATAATTATTTGTTGAGAATCAAGAATTAATTCACTTGGCCTCAAGGAGGATCTTTGACACTCTTAATGTTGAAATTGAAAAATCCTTCTTTCGAAAGCACTAAAATATTTTAGGCTTAAACCTATTATGACAATGTTTTACTTGATTAAACAGATCCTTTGGATTCCTCTTTGAAATTCACTTACAAGCCTGCTGTTCCTTCACTTACAATCAATAATTTCATAATGGAACCAGCAAATGCAGGAGAAGTATCCACTTATTCTTTGAATATGACATCGAGTGGAAATATGACAAGTGGCAGCACTATTCAAATTCAATTCCCCACTGACACATATCCTCCAGGATTGACTAGATATGATTTGTCATTAGGTTGTAATTTACATTTCAAAAATGGAACAAATGTAACTGTTCCATGTTCTGCTGCCAATTCAAAATTGACTGTCAGTTTGAATGCCAATATTGATTAAAACACAGAGTTTACACTTTCAGTAGTAGGAATAACCAATCCAAATTATGATACAGGTGCTATCAAAGGATCGATAGATGTATTGACAACAGACTCTAACAACAATGTGTTGACTTATAATAGTGGGGCAGCTGAAATAAATCCAACTGCAGCTCCACAGACTATGAAATTGGTTAAATTAGCTACTTCTTCTACGAACTTGCAAGTTAAAGCTGCTTACACCTTATGTGTTTAGACAGACATCAGTATTCCATTGGGAGCCTAAGTGTTCGTGGATTTCCCACAACAATTTACATTTAAATCATCGAGCTATCCTTGTTATATCAGTTTAGATCACAATAATGCTTTATTGCCCTATGACAATTCAACTTCATCTCCTTCCTGCAAGAATTCAAATTCCTTAAGAAGAATTGCTATCTCTGGTCATACTGCTGCTTATGTGGGCAATAAGAATAGTCCAGCTTAGTTATGTTACATTCTCGACAATATCGAGAATCCAAGTTCAGCTGGTCCTACTGATAATTTTGTAGTGAGTATCTATGACACACAAAATAAAAATGTTGTGGCCTAAACCTTTGGAACCCTATCACCCAATTCAACATTGTCATATAGTCAACAAGGATTAGTTATCACAGTTGAAAGTATAGACCCATTACCTAGATATCTCACAACCAAACCAATTAAAGTTACACTCCAAAGGTCTGTCAGTCATACTGTTACATTAACACCTTAGTCAACTGAATTTAAATTTATTCCACCAGAATTAGTGTTCTTACCTTCCAATGGACCTGAAATGTATTTCAAAATCTAGGCTATTAATGATGATGCCACTGATGTTGGATTAAAACAGTTCAGTTGGCTCAAAGTAGAATCAGCAACTGCCAAGTTCTCGGAGATGGCTGATTCCTTCTTTTAATACGTTGATAAACCTACTGCTAATTAATTATACATGACAATTAATCCAAGAGTATTCAGAGTAGCCTTAGGCGGAACATCATTACCTATGACTTTAACTCTATCTTAACCAGCTGCACAAGACTTGCTTGTCAATTTCACTACTATTAATCCTTATCAAGATAGTTCCTTAGTATTTGAACCTATCAACGCAGCTGGTTAAGTCAAATTCCCTGCTGGCACAACTTCCATTCAACTTTAATACACTACCAAATAAACTGCTTTATCAGGCCAGATCTAATTTGAAATAGTTGACAAATACAGTTCCTTATATACAATACTTGATAATATTGTCAATTTTGAAATCTTAGAGACTGATGACAAAATACCTGAAGTAGTCAATTATTATGCTGTCAATGTAAAAAGAACCAGCATGTATTTCAGAGCCAGCATCGATGAAAGTGTTACCTTGTACTATTATTTGACTCTGAAAGGCAATCCCAAACCAACCATGGAACAAATAAAATCTTAACAAAAACTCACTAATGTCTTCACCCAATTCGGAAATAATCAAAGCTTTATTGCTCCTGTCACTTCAGATTACATCTATAATGATGTCTATTTGGACCTCCAAGGATTGACAGAATAAACAGATTATTCACTCTACTTCTTCGTTACAGATTTAAGTGGCAACAACAATACCGAAGTCAAACAATTCGACTTTACAACTGCAGCCAAATACTAGCCTGCTTAATTCAAGATCACTCTTGGCAAAGATGTTGATATTGACAAACTGTTGAGTGCATTCGGTTTAGTCACTGGATTGCCTTCTAGTAGCTTTTAAACTATAGAGAAACCCAAGAAATTTACCATTGATGGTGAGTTAGATTCTGATGTGCAATCGATAATAGACTCCCAAACAGTCACTTATACATTCCAGATTAATCCAGATGCTACTGTTGGTGGTCTATCACCTTACGAATATATTAGATTAATCTAACAAAACTTGGATCTCTTGCAATCAGAAATCCCAGAAGTAGTAGATCAGAATATTTTCAACACTGCCTGGGAATACTTTGAGTACCCTTAAGAGTTTAAGTATACTCCCATTAAGATCAATGTCACCGAAGATGCTGTCTATTTCAATGTGTCTCTGAGATACACTGGCAATTTGTACACTCTGGTTTTACCAGCTGATTCACCTGCACCTTCATCCAAACAAGTCTCCATGGGACTTAATTCCACAAATTCTCCTGTTCAAAAGGTAATGTTAGTAGCAATATTTAATAGGAATGGGTCTACCAAATCAGATTTGAATATAGCAATAAAACAAGCACTGATGATCAAAAGCTGTATGCCATTTTCAACTATACTTTGTTATTTGACAATTCTTATTACAAAGCATATTTCACTGCAGATAACAATTTAGTTAGCAATCCAGATTTAATGACCAGTAATTTTTTATTGTATTCTTAGATGAATAAATGAAATAAATTGAATTCAAGACTAAGAGAGAAATCGTTATTATACCCAAAAAGTATTTACAATCAAGTTTGCTATCTATATTAATGATAATAATCCTTTGTATAGGATGACATAGAATGAATGATATGATTAATATATAATCAAATCAACAGAATATTACATAAATTATTGATTTCCCCTATTCAATTAAATTAATATCTATTATTGGATGGGAGATAAGAGGATCGACAAATACCTATTCAATATCAATCACAAGATTGGAGAGGGATCTTATGCAACAGTGTACAAAGGAGTCAATGAAAAAACAGGAGAAAAAGTAGCCATCAAAATGCTTAATAAATCTGTCATTAATGCGTATGATCTTCCTCTTTATACTCAAGGGATGATTACTTAAGAGAAGGCTTAATCTAGGAAATCAAAATTATGGGAAAGTTGAAAAGTCCGAATATTGTCTAACTTTTAGATGTTATGGAAACTTCAAATAATTATTATATTGTTTAGGAATTTTGCGATGGAGGTGACTTTGATGAGTAATAATCTCTAACTATCTAGATTTCTCAAAAAAAAGAAAAATCTAACAGAAAAAGAAGCCATTAAATTTTTAGTCGATGTCTTAACTGGCTTCACCTAACTCATTAAAAATGGAATTATCCATAGAGATCTGAAACCTGCCAATATCTTACTAGATAAAACAGTATTCAAAATATACCTATTTCTCCCTAGACCTATAAATTAGCTGATTTTGGGTTTGCAAAATGCGTTGACAATTTCAAAAAAGACATGATGTCCTCAATGGTTGGAACTCCATTATACATGAGTCCCTAAATCTTAGATCATAAGAGATACAACTCCAAAACTGATGTCTGGAGTATAGGATTCATCTTTTATGAAGCCCTCTTTGGAAAAAGTAGAATTTCTCTAATACCTAAGCTCCATGGACCGCAAGATCTCCTCCAGAATTACTCAAGAATATCAGAACCCAACCATTAAAGTTCCCAACTGATAAAATACCAATCTCTTAAGAAACCCAGGATTTAATTATCGGTTGTCTATAAGCAGATGAATCTAAAAGATTATCATGGGAGGAAATATACAAGCATCCTGCAGTTGCCTAGTACTTTTAGGATATTGTTAAGGGAAATTCAAAATTGGAAGACAAAGCTTAATACTTGATTAACGATATTAGACAAATGATTATTAAAGATAAATTGGACATCACATAATTGTTTGCAGAATTAGATATGTCGAAGGATAAAGCTCTAGATGTGAATGAATTAGGTCGATTTCTAACTAGAGTCGATAAAGATATCTAAAGAGATGAAATCGAATATATATTTAATAAATTTGATGAGGATGGTAGCAATTCAATCGATTTCGAAGAGTTCAAAAAGTGGCTGGAAGATAATTCTGTATATAATTAAAATATTATTAGATTCAAGTCAAACAAGAAAAATAAGTTAGAGATAGAACAAAAAAATAATCTATTTTAGGAAAGAATACTGTAGAAGAACGTGCTAATTATGTGATAGAAAAACTCAAACTTTCTATTATCAAATACAACATTCAACTTATTGATTTGTTCAAAAAAGTATAATTATATCAATATAATTAGTTTGATAAATCTGCCGATTTGAGATTAGATTTAAAAGAAATGGGATTAATGTTGAAAAGAATTGAACCAAGTATCAATGAAGATGAAACTCGCGCGGTCTTCGATTTCTTTGATATCAATAAAGATGGCGAAATTACATTCTAAGAGTTTTAGACTAATTTATAGGAATGCATAGTTCATAAAAAATGAATGTTTTAATATATAAACTATTTAAAATAAGACTTTTATGGATTCAAGTATCTACCAACCTTATAAATACCAAAAATATACTCCAGTATTACATTATTTTATAGAGGAATTATCTACTTATACAGGATTAGCTAGACTACTAATATGAGTGCTTAGAATTAGAAAATGATTAATGGTCAAGCATTTCTATATTGAAAGGCTATCCATAATATATCAAAATAAGGATTCAAGATTATTTCCCATTAAAAATATTTTTCAATGTAGGAGCATTTAAATGCAACACTTACTTTTCCTTTTAAACCTCCCAGCCATCTGCAACCAATCATCAAAAACATGTTGTTATAAAATAATAAAAAATTATTGTAATTAAGAGACCAGATGAACACAAGTAATATCTATATATCTCTCTCTTATCTGATTTTAGTACTTAAGTCAAACTTAAAGCATGGTTTTAATGTATAAAATTTATTATTACATAAGAATCCGAATAAGACAGATGCTATTTCCTTTGCTATTATGGTTAAGAATAGTACCGAAAAAGAAGCTGCTCATAAAATAACAATAAGACAGATGATGAATTATGTGTTACTGTTAAAAATAATGCTACAACTATTACCACTACCAATTGCATAGAAAAATCTCACTTAAGTGATGGCAATGTTCCTCCAATAAAATCTTTAAGTGAAAATCGTAGGTTTAATAGTTACAAATAGAAAAATGGATCAATATCCTTAAAAAGTAGAATTCTGTAAGTGTAACAGAAAAAACTTTAATTATACTCACAAAATGTAGTTCAACGATATTAACGAATGCTAATATAATCATATAAATAATTAAATCAATCAAGAATGATGAAAAAATACATATATTAATGGATAATTACTCTAAATTTCATTTAACATATTGAATCAATTTATGCTCATTTTAAAATCAATAAAATATTAAGATGCATGTCTAATTCTCCAAAACTTTATGCATAAAGATGGAAACAATTGAAAGATCAAAATTTTGGTTAAAAATGTAGAATTTTAATTCAAGCCAATTTAACCCTCTCCATATACTCAAATTAAGTGAATGAAAAAATTTAGAAATAAATATCGTAACTTATCTTTTTAGGCTTGGGAGACACAAACTTTATTAAAAAGCAAGCATAATTATAGTAATCGTTTATGAATTTCTATTTAAAGGTAAGAAAGATTTAAGAATTTTATCTGTAATAAAGAAGCAAATTCAATATATTGATGAATTAAATGATATAAAATATCAAAAAAGAATATCCAACAATTCTAATTTCTAAATAAAGAATGAAAAGAATCTTATCATAGTTTTATTAGTTGTTGTGTGCTAATCATAAATCAGAATATATGAAATACTTGATAGCACAAAAGTCTAATACTACTTTAATTACTTCTGTTTTCGCATTATTTACAAGACCAAAATTAAATATGATGAAGAATCAAGCATTATTGCTTTAACTTATTGAATAAACCAAATGATTAATTGTTATATAATAAATTTTTGAAATGACTTTATTTCACTTAGCTGCATCCCATTGTTATTTTAACCCAATAATCGAGCTGATAGTTCCAAAGAAGCCAATCCATTTACCAGGTACTCTTCCATTACTGATAAATCCGTAGGCACTCTTACTATTAAAATTATATTGATACCAGTAAATCCATAAAAGCCCTTAGTAAATCTAATTTAAGATTGAAAAGACGTTAAGAGGATTTTGTTTCTTATGATTTATTTTATTCTTCCCTTATTTCTAAAATCAATGCAACACAATCAAAGAACGCCTCAAAATTCCAAAGTGCGTCACTCCAATAATCAGCCTTGGCTTCTAATTATGGGTTTTGTATCACTTAAATCTAAGAATTAATCTTGAGATTACTTTACAAAACCAATGAGTGTGATCAACCAAAAAATACAGAAAACAAGAAATATTCATCAATATTTTATTAAGAATGATTGCTTTATTTCCTTTTTATTTTGATAATTCCATAATTGAAATTATGATTCCAATTGTTCTTCCAAATCTTAAGACTTTTCTTGTTAAACTCATGTTTGAACTTAAGTTTTTGCACTTTAATGACAATTCATCTTATTTTAACTCTTTCAATTATTCTGCACAAAATTTACCAAAATATTGTAAAATTCTACAAGACTAATAATATTATTATATATTCAATACTCACTTTATCTCTTCCAGAAGTTTTAGATAATAAAATAACAACTCTTTTAAAATTCTACATTCTTATTTACTAAATTAATATATATTATTAAATATTATATTTGCTAAACTTAAGAAAATCATCTTCTTCTAACTCCTGCTCCCTCTAGTTGATTTACTATCTTGGGAAATAGGGATTATTAAGTTAAGAGCTAGTCCATCAATTTATTGTGTTCATTGGTTCTAAAATATTACAATTTATAAATACCTTTCAACCCATCTGTTATTAGTATTATCTAAGTTATCTGAAGCATTCTTGAAATTGGTTTGAGCATCTCTGAGTAAATTTTACTTTGTTTGAATTTGAGCTAATCAATAATACATTAAAGTTACCATCTCTAGTTTAGATTTCAGCCTATATTGTTGGAATTACAATTGTTGATAAATTATTTATTCTTTGATTATATTGACTGAGATTATGATCATCAATGGCTCTAACTTATTGATAAGCATTTTCTAGGTCTGTTTTATTTTTAACAATGGTGTCTCTCAAATTTTGAATTAACTTTTAAACCTTTGCACTTGCTTCTGAATCATTGAAACTTGGGGCCATGATCTAAGTGAATGCAGTGATCAAAGGTCCATACATAATTCTTTAATGTTAGAGTTGCTTTAGACCTTCTTCTAAGAATGAAACACTTCTATTCTAGATGAATGAACCATCTCTAAGCTATCCAATCAATTACAAAGCTTAATCAAGAGCTTAAACAGCATTTGTATATTAATTTTATTGATCCTTGAAGATTCCTTCTTCTTTTGTGATTCTTGCTTATAATCCGTCGGCTAATGATTAAACTTCCTTCAATTCATCAACCTTTCCATTTAAAGCAATTTATAATAAGTCTCTACTTTCAGTGAAATCTGTAACATCTATTTCTAATGATGCTATCTAATAAAGTAAGTAAATAAGATTACTTCATTTTAGAATTGTGTGATTTAACCTGAGAAGAATTCCTTGTCTGTGAAATATTAGACTTCATTTTGTTAATACTCTTGTTATTCATCAGCCAATCTTTATTTGATTGAATTTTGTAAGTCATCAAGTGCTGCATATAATTTAGAGAAATCAAATTGTTGTGCCTTTGATTTTAAGCTTAGTAATTTCAAGAATGCTTTCCCTAAATGTGTTTATTCTAATTCATTCATTACTGGATTAGATAAAGGACCTTGAATTTAACTTGCCAAGGTGAGAGAAATCAATAGTATAGAAACTAATTTCCTCATACAATCCGTTTTTAATATTAATATAAATAATTAACATTATATAATATAAAATTGGAAATCACTTTATTTGACATTTTTATTTTTATTAAATATGTCTTATAGGAGAATATTGGTCTAAAGATGAATATCTCTTGTAGGTCCTTATTTACAAAATAGTAGTTTATTAAAACGCTCATTATAAGAGATGATATTTATATAGATTTCAATATAATTGCCATAGCATCTTATGAATGCTAGATATCATTAAATTAATTCTTAGTTATTTATGTGAAATATAATAATTTCTAAATTTGTTGGATTCCTTAATTATTGATATCTAATATTTACAAGAAAATAAAAATAAAGATTTTTTGAAAATAAAATTTTATAATTTTTTATAAAATATGTAAGAATAACAGGATCGAATCAAAGTTTAATTAGAAGCAGAAGTAAAATAATTAGCAATAGAATTTGTTAGAGAATAATACTTAGAAATCATTTTATATCTATATGTTTATTTTTTAATTTCCTTTTATTTAGAAAACTTTTTATCAATAATCTAGTTGGTGATGTGCCTAATATTTGTTGATATTTGTAATATTTTGAATGATATAATAGGTAGAAGTATTTAAACTTGTTATTGTTTACAAACGGAATTAAGGGTTTATTATTATTTAGAATCGTTCATCTATTGTTTAATGAAATTGTGTTATATTTTGATAGTTATGCTGGAAATTCAATTTTATTTGATGCTAATTCTGTTTCCATTATTATTGTTGATCCTAAGATTGCTGATTTATTGCAATAAAAAGAAATACTTCGCATTTGTTGCATTCTAATAGTTCGTATAGCATAAAGAATGACATAATAGTTTAATGTACTATGGAAGATAGTAATATTAGTTGAAACTTTATCAGTAACTCTAAAATTGGATAATTTTGTTGCTTGGGATTGGATATAGGTTTTATGGTTGTTTTTGATTCTGCTAATATTAGATGGCGTAATAACCTTTGTCTCACTTCTTTATTTTATAATCAAAGTAATTCCAGCTTTGATAAAAAAGAATGAAAAATAAAGAAGTACTTTATATTATTGATATGAAAGCTGCCTACTATGTGTAATTTGTCCTGTATTAAGTCACAATATTTATGACAAATCTCTTTTTATATTTCAATAACTTTGCATTGAAAATAATTCTACCAATTTTATTCATCCTTATGTCAGCTTACACTTATTTTGAGAGAAGAAATTTGGAACAATATTATGCAAATTTCATATTCAATCTAGAGATAGGAAGGGACTTAGAAGAGAAGCAATAACCTTATGAATAAGCAACAACAATTTTATAAAGAGTTTCAACTAATTATTATAAACCAATAATGACAAATGTTGGACAAAGACAATCGAGTCAACCTCCAATGTTGAGCAATGACTTATAATCTGTAAATTCTGAGGAATAAAACTTATGTGTAATATGCTAAGATAAGGTGGGAGAAAAGATTTTTATGCCTTGTGGACATGGCAAATTTTGTGCTTAATGCATTGGAAATACTGACGCTTGCTTTCTATGTCGAAATGAAATTGCTTAGATTCTTACAGTGTAACAAGATCACATAAGCTTTGGAATTGTTGCTAAATGATATTTAAAAAAAATTATATATAAATATGATATGAGGATTAATTAAATCATTATATTTATTGAAATTTGTTATGGCTTGCACATCCAAAGAGTAGTTTCACTAAGATGTTCACGAATTAAATTAAGAATTAAAGCCTCAAGAGTAGATTCCTGCAGTACAAACCATGAAATTAAATAGAGGAGGGCTTATTATCAAAACTAGCGAAGGTCCAATCCAATTTGGATTGCCTCCAGAAACTGTGAAGGATTCCATGTCTCTAGGAGTAGAAGTGCCCACATTCTACATTATTCCTACCCAGAGATTCAACAAATAATTTGGAATTAATGTTGCAGAATTTGAATTCCCAGCTTATTTCAATTTCTTTATCAAGAAAAGATAAGTTACATTGATTTGCGATAATGAAACTGCAAACTCAATCAAGATTGTTTTTTAGGAAACTTTGTTAGGTCCATAGGATTTTAGTGTAATTGTTAAAATATAGCTTATAGTAAATAAAAAGCGATTATCATCCTGATGTGGACCCAGTTGAATATGTGGATTTTAAGAAAGAATTGGCAATATTCGCAAAAAATCCCATGAATTTAAATGAAAAACTTACTTCAGAAACCTTATTAAAATTCATAATTTTTGAGAATAATGTGGCATAGATAGGGAAAGTAAAAATAGTTAAAGAAGAAAATGAGTTTACAATCTATGACAATGAGAATTTACTCATAAGTTTTCCTGATAAATTTTGTTTTCCAAAGGAATACGATAAATTATTATCATTACACAAAATTGATAGTTCAGGGAAATCTGAAATAGCCCCTCCTTCATTAACAATAATGAAAAAGATGTAACACGGAAAAAAGCCTCCAAGTTTGACTTAAACCTTCGATGAGGTAGATTCCGATGAGGACGCTCTGGACATGGGAAGTATGCCAAATTTATTATTATGGAATAAAAATGGAGAAGCCAAAATATAGAAGAAAGGAAGCATAGAATTGAATGAAGGACTAACATTCTAGGCTCCTGAATTTGGTGTTACAGTTTTGGGATGTGTAATACAATATAAATAAACTAGTCTCATGGATTTGATCCAAAAGGATCTACATCTGGTTACATCTTTTGGATCAATGGCAGAGGAATAATGGTGGATCCTCCTCCATACACCAGTTACCATTTGAAAAAGATGGGAATTCCACCTATTATGATAAGTGCCATTATTATAAGTCATTGTCATGCCGATCATGATGCAGGTGCATTTCATAAAATATTAGATGATAGTAAAGTTGAAATAATCACAACTAGAACTATCATGTATTCATTTTTAAGAAAATATTCTGCTATTTCTAATTTATCATAAGACTAGATTAAAAGTCTGTTTATATTCAGACCAGCTATTTTGGGAGTCCCCCTAAATATTTATGGAGCAGAATTTGAATTCTTTTATGCTTTTCATTCAATTCCATGTATTGGATTCAGAGTCAGATATCAAAACAAATCAATATACTTTAGTGGTGACACATTTTATGATCCAGTTAAAATCGAGGAATTATATAAACAGGGACATTTAAATCAGGCAAGGTGCAAATAATTGAATTCTCCTAAATTCACAGAAGATATTATTTTACATGAAGCTGGAGTTCCTCCAATTCACACCCCTTAAACAGTTTTGTCCTAATTACCTAATCAAGTGAAGAATAGAATGTATTTAGTTCATGTAGCTGCTAAAGATGTTCTCAAAGGATCTGGTTTGAAAGTAGCCAAACCAGGCATTGAAAATACTCTAATTTTAATCAGACCAAATGTCTAATAAGATATCACTTTAAATAGAAAAATGGATATTATAAGTAGAATTGACATTTTCGATAAGTTGACTTTGAATAATGCCAAATTTTTAATGGATGCTCTAAAGTTAGAAAAGTATAAGGAAGGAGAATTAGTAATTTAAGAGAATTAAGAGGGACATAAATTCTACATTATTGAGTCTGGTTTGGCTAAGGTGTTCTCTGATTAGAAAGAGAACAAATTTTAAAGATATTTATAATCTGGAGACTATTTTGGAGAATCAGCCTTGATCTAAACAGGAAGAAGAAGAGCTTCAGTACTTGCAGTAACAGATTTAAGGGTTTTATCTCTTGATAAACATGATTTTTGGTTTATATTTGGCGATGGATTTGAAGGCCAAGGACCAGTAATTGAATAAATGATGTAATTGATGGAAGCTAGAAAACAATAAGCCATATAGATCTTGTTTAAGTATGAAATTATAGTTTATTATAAAATAGAAATTCACATTTCTCTCAATTGACTCCAACTTAAAAAACTTAGCTAGAGATGATTATGCAATAACAGGAGGTCAGTAAGGGTCAAATCTTATGGAAGAAAGATGACGAAGCTACTTTTGTATTTTTCATAAGAAAAGGTGCCTTTGCGTTTATTGACTGTGAAGAAGCAGTAATATAAATGATTAAACTAGAAATTGGAAGAGTTTGATTCTGGCTCATTTATCGGCGAAATTAACGCTATTTTGAAGGGAAACAAATTAACAACTACAATCAAGGCTATTAGAGAGGGATCGATATTGAAGATAGAAGCTAAATCATTTGCTAAGTTTTTATAACGTAACCCTGGATTATTATTGTTATTGCAAGAGTATAAATATTTAGAATGACATAATAATCAATTCAAATATAAATAATTTGAAATATAATATAATAATAATACATTAACGAGATATTAAGTAATTCCTGTTTTTCGATATCGCAAATTTAAACAAAAAAAACTTTTAGGACTTAAATTAATATTATTAATGAAAATATTGTAGCTACTGTTAATTAGCTATTCAATTATGTTAACACATCAGATGTTTTGTAACTATTTCCCATTGGATTCAATTGCATGTGTTGGCAAAACATAAGGAATCAAATGTAAATTGAAAATCTAAATTAGGTTATTACAATTAGTTTGAGAGTTCTTGTATGGATACTTCATCGACAAGTCATGGTTGTTTACCTACATTAAATCAGTTAGCATGCTTAAATTAACTAACTAATTAAATGGGGGAGGAGGCTCGATGTAAGAATTATAATAATGAATTAAGGCATATTTGGAAAGAGATGTGTATCAATTAAACCTACTCATTTGGCAAAGTTAGGTTGCTATGAGAGGTTCTCGAAGTACTCGTGCACAAATGTAGCAAACAAGGATTGTATTTGGGATGGAAATAAATGCACTGAATATTTGAGTAATATATCGGACGGAGAGTAATGTGAGCTTATATTTGGGAATTCAGTAACACCTTCCTTGTGTTAAAAGATTAAAAATTTGAAATGTAAGTCTCTAACTTAAAATTAGGCATGAATGGCGGCTTTTCTCAAGATTACAAGTGTGTAAGTGTCAATGAATA